CCTGAGACCACTCCTACTACTACTCCACTTTGCATTCATGCTGCCTGCAACTGCAATGGTCCACGGCAGTGAATTGATTAATTTCAACGGCATCCATCCATGCATCTGAACAGCAAAACATCTCAGATACTACAGTGGTACTGTGGCGGCAAGTGGGGCAAGTCGGCAAGATCAGCCCCGCTTATCCTAAGCTTATGAACTGCAGATATAATCGGACGAGAAAATTCAGGATTACTTTTCTGAACAATACACCGGAGGCCGAAGTAGTAGTTGGGTAGTACAAATGAACCTGAAATTGAAGATCAACACCGTAGCAGTATAAATTTTTTCCGTTGATGAATGGAAAAACGAGTAGCCAATGGCCAATGCGTGTGAGCAGATCCTCTTCCTGATCTAGAAGAAGCGGTCACCGACAGGACGACGCACCTGACCTGCTGCCTGCTGGCTGGGCGGATCGACGACCAAAGGCTTGAATTCCAAGTTAGGTTGTCTTTTTCTATCTACCCAAACAAAGAAAGAAAAGGTCAAAGGCACAACTAATAATGATAAGTACACATATTTTCTCACGTACCGGCCGATCCATCCACTACCACTACCACTAGCAGTAGTACCAGGCAGTGCAGTAGCTTTTACAGCATTGTGGTTGTAGGCTTTGTCCCACTTATCAATATAGCACTACGAGTTTTTCTCCTGTAACGACAAGCAAGCATGAAGTTTTTTTTTCTTTTTTTTTGAAAAACCCCCTATATTAATTAATTAATAATGTTATTACAATCATTCATTATAAAATTCGCCACACAGGACGGAACACTATTAAGAAGAATCCCGTCAGATTTATTTATAAAGCTAAACTTCACAATTTCGTGCGCCACCTTATTGGCCTGCCGATTAATTTTCGCAATTTTAAAATTCCTGAGCATCGTCAATATACTCAAGACTTCTTTCTTCAGATCAACGAGCGGAGACCTGTCAAGATTCTCATTTGCAAGGAAAGAACGGACAAAAGCACAATCAGTCTTCAAAATAATGGATTGGTGAAGAGTAATACCTATATAAAGGCCTGCCAGACAAGCACGTAGCTCAGCTTCGTTCACGCTGCAACACTGACCCAGAAAGTCCCACGAAAAAGTAATAACTTCACCAGATGAGTTCCTAACAACCACCCCCACACTGGCCGCACTAATACTCTCCACATAGCTGGCATCAACATTGATCTTGATATAATCATCTGGTGAAGGCTTCCATCCCACCTGTTCTTGTGATGTTGTGAAACCTGGTGTAGCACCTCCCACTTTCCCTTTACCTTTGTTACTAGTAACAACCTCAACAGAGTTGTGACCGGATGTAAAAGAAGACCAATATTTTACCACAAAAATTGCAGATGCAGCAATGGATTCCTTCCCTTTCCCAAAAATTAAATCATTTCTCAGGTGCCATGTTCGCCAGAACAGAAACAAAACTTGCCCTCTCTGTTGCAAGCTCAAAAGATCCAACAAAATCAATAATCAATCTGGTCCCGAGAATTTGAACCACTCTTCATCAGGAATATTCCACGATTTTCTCAAGGCCAGTCGCAGTGCACGAGCCTTAGGACAAATAACTAGTGCATGAAACGTGCTTTCCTCTTCTACTCCACAAATAGAGCACATACCTGAAGTAATCTGATGGTGCTTAACTCTATTGGTGTGGACCGCCAAGCTATCGGTCGCGGCCCTCCAAGCAAAAATCTTTTTGAGTAGCAAGCAGGAAGTTATTAATGCTAAAACGAAAATCTCTTTTGTTTTTCTTCTCTCTGGACCTTTTTATTGATAAACGGAATATTAATACCAGGATGATACCAGTTTTCTTTTTTTGCGGGGATACCCGTTACACCTAGCCTCTGCAACAACATAATATGCAACAACATAATATCGAGACAGTCTAGACATTAAAGATGCACACAGCCAAAAAAAGGAAAAATGAAAAATCTCATATGCAATATTTTTCTCTCTGAAGCTTTTTGGTTGCATCTTCGTTGTGTCACCACCTGCACTGCATCTGCATGCATGTCTTTTGCGGTTGGAGGCTTGCGGCTCACTCATCAAGGCAACAGCTAGCAGGGCAGACCGATCCAAAACCCCGTGGTGTGACGTGCAAATGCGAACCATAACAACAGCAGCAGCATCAAACGAACGGACGGGTTTGGTGACGCGTCGTCGGTCGGTCGACGAGACGTATGACCATGCGATGCATCCACGGACGGTTGATCGGCTGACAAGGACGTTGCTAATCTTTGGTTTCTGTCAGCAGCCTGCTGGTCGGTATTAGTAGATGTATGCAATCATATGTGCAGTGCAGCCAGCCGCGTGCATCAACCAACCGGCCGGCCGGCCCGGCTGCAGTGGTCAGTGCGATGCTGCCGGTTCAGCAGGAGGAGTGAATGCATGGCAGGATGAGGATGAGGCGTAAGCCTGACGCGGGCACGGGTATGCGCGGTGCGGTGGTCAGCCTGGCCTGGAAAACAAAAGTTGAGCCGGCGTTGCCACGCTAGGCTTGCCCGGCAAGCACGCAAAGCACAGGAGAAAATTCAGAGAAAATGATGCGCAATTCATGATTTTCTTTTCTTTCTTTCAGGGATAGAGGGAGAAGCGTGCACTCCAGCTTCTGAAACAGCAACTGCAGTCGCAAAGCCACTGAATAAACTCGGTGTACGAATCGATATATGCTTTCTTCTTCATCTTTTTTTAAAGTGGTGCGTGCACAAGAATACACGAAAAACCGAATTAACACCTAATTATATGACGCTTTCCCGTTACAAACCGCTCACGCCACCTTTTTCCTTTTTCCTAACCATGCAGGAGGGCTGCACCGCATGTGATCGCTCGGAAGGAGTAGAAAGTAACGCAAAGAATTTATCTGTTTCTCGAGCACAGTATGTATGGACAGCCTCTGAAGAAATGGTTCCAACTTCCAATAGGGTTATCCATGAACGACAGTCGGCGACCGTTTCTTAATTCCTTTTGGTAATGGACTGACTGGACTGGGAAACACCAAATGCGTGTCGGCCTTATCAACGAACGATACGGTAGTAGTAGGTGTTGTTTCTTTTCTCTGCTTACGGCCAGCAGCAGCTTTAGCCTTTAGCACTGCATCTGCATGCACTCATTCACAGGTCTCGAGTCGCTCTCATGAAAGCTAAACCTCTACCTGCGCCGGAACCCGACGTCCAAACCACAATATATATGTTCTATTGCAATCAAGTTTATTCTCTTCAGGAAGAAGAAACTGAGTGCATAATATGTGTCGATGGACACTAACCAAGCCTTGAGCAATAACACTGAACCTTTCTCCAAGCGATGCAAGAAATTGTTGATTGGGTTCTTCAGGTTTTATCTTATTAAGCATTTGAACAAGAATTTTTTCCTATTGCCCGCATGAATTTTCACAAGAGTTTTTCTAAAGGTCAATTGACGAGATCGGATGTTTTCCCGCAAAATTTTTTTTTGGGCAAGAGTTGTAGGAACCGGCTTTCCTGGATCTCTGCTGGTGCCTGGTGGTGATAAATCAGCACATTTTCTGGCCTCAATGTCGTGAATCGGGGACAGTTTTGCACTGTAAACGAGCAGTTCCACAAGTGAAGAAAAATAGTTCTTTCACCAGACAAAAAAGTCAAGAAATGCTCCATCATCGGTGTACTTGAAAGTCAGGGAAACATTTCTTACCAACAAGGAAAATAATAAGAAATTTACGAGAAAATCTCAACAAGCAAGGAACAAAGAAGGGAATGCCCACTTGCTAGCAGAAAAATCTTCTGGATTCGGGAGCACCTTGTAGCCATATAATATGCAGAGAATATGCTTGGTGAGAAAGATGATGTGTGAGCCTGCTTAGTGCTGTTGATTAGCGCATTATTCTGCTTAAAGCTGCGTCCTATCATGAGATGATGGCAAACGAGATATTGTGATGATATACTAACAGGCAGGATCTCTAGCCTTATTATGGCAGCTCCAACTTGGGCGAGCAGCTAGCAATCATGGACTCATTTTAACCCTACATACTCCATTGGGAAGCCTCGGCAGCTTTGTTTGCACCATCTACAAATGAACGTACCTGTGCTGATGACAATGTGCCAGCAGTCACTTCTGCATCATCACAAGATCATACCCAATCAGAGATTTTCAGCAGACAAATCCCAGCATATCAAATACAATTTGCAATGTAAACTTTGACCTGGTAGCCTCACAATGCCATTTAGTGTGCGGTGCACTGTGGCGTGGTGTGTGGACCTCTCACAGGAGCAAACACTTTAGCTATCTGATTACTTGTGTGGGAGTAGTTCAAGGACCACAGTGCACATAAGATTAGACCAGTGACCTGTACTTCCATGGCATCCAATGCATCAACTTCCCAACAACTGTTGCAGGAGGAGGCACCACCAATTATCACCCAACCACACAGTGTACATGCCAAACCAAACAGAGAAACATAACAACACAAGATGAGATGCCACTGCCAGCCACCCTAACCTAAAGTACTCCAAGAATCAATGGAAGAGGGGTACATCACAACAACATTTGCTACCACCCCATCATTCACAAGGACACTAATCACAGAAACCAAATCCACCCATAACTTAGTCCAGTTAACATAACACGTCTTGCAAGCATCATCCATGATTGAAAGGGGCTTTTCGCGGACAGAGTGAAAACCCCAGCCATGAAAATCAGGGGGGTTTCTCTGTACCGTCGGTGTCTCTATCCGCTAACCGCACGACAAAAGAGTTACTACTAAGTCAACTTACTACAGAAACTCAAAAGTTCCGTCAAGGTCTAGCATATGATGGGTAATATTAGCGATGGATCATCTCTACTGCGGTTACAACAAGACACAGTCTTTATTAAAACGTGCATCCTTGTCGAGGTACCCTAACGATGAGCGCTACGAGGCTTATGTATGACCTGAACTAAGGATTCCTTCTTATTTGCAATTTGGGCAGTTGTTGCTTATTTCCCAGATGGAGTTCACTGAGGAGGGAACCAGCCACTGCTGTAGAGCTTATCTGATGGCCTTGGCATTGGCATTGGCATTGGCAGCCTGACACTGTCGACTTGGCCATGGTTCTTCCGAGCACCGTCATAACTGGAAGATGAACAATTGGGTGGCACGGTCCCTTTGTTCGAGTCCTGCGGTGGAAGGAAGTAGTTTGCAACAGCTAGGTTGTTGTCAAGGACAGGGAGATCACCTGTAAGAGTCCTGAATGCAAACTCCAGGCATGGGTCTGACCAGATACTTCGAAACAGCGATGACAGGGAATATCCGGGCATAGCATCAGCTGTTCCGACAAGTCCGTTCTGTTGCGGCGGAGCATGCGCATTCTGGCGTCCAACTTCTGTTAACGAGCATGCAGCAGATGCTCCTAGTATTTGTTCAGGAGCCGAAGGATACTTGTCTTCAGCATTTCCAGAAGTACTTGGGGCATGTGCTCCATCTTTATTCTGAATTACTGGAGAGGAAATTGCCTTTGACTTAGGATTTTTAACTTGCTCTGTTGGTTGTACCTGATCAGCGATATCTGTCTGTGCGTCCACAAGTGGGTCTCTAGGTACATTATTGGCTTCCTCGTTCCTTTTCAGCGCAGTTAAACGAGGTGACGATCGAACAGGTGCAGCAATCTGTTTCACGGGTTCAGTTTTTTGCTTCTTTCCCTTGGGTTTCGGCTCTACATTTGCTTCTTCTCTTGCAGCAGATTCATGGTTCAGACGCTGATCGTTCTTTCTTGCCACCTGAAGCTCCAAGTCTGCAAGCCTCCCTTTGGAGACACCCTCGGGCTCTGATGATGGCCGTCCAGCCTGTATATTTAAAAATAAAGGCTATTAGATGGTGCAGTAATAGTTAGGTTGAGAATGAAACATGGGTAGCAACAAAGATTCTTTGTAATTTTCACTCATTTGAAGTACAATAGAAATCTGAGGGCATCGGCAGTTTGGCACCACTTTCATGTATATGACGTGTAGGTCAATATGGGAAATTTAATAGGCTGCGAAAGTGTGGTATAGCCTGTAGGATATTAGGAAATTGGTAATTCACAGATGTAAACTAGAAATTGTGTTCCAATACCAAAACGCATTGCAACAAGATGTTGCTTATTTGTAATTTAGGATAGAGAAGGGCGTGAAATGAAGAAATTCACATCTGCAACCCATTACATGCATATATCATATTGTTGAGACATTTATAAGCATGAAATATTTCATTTTAAAAGAACAATTTTGGCCATCCAGATTTGACAATCCAACCATCCGCAATTAGTTTGGCGATTAGTACTTTTCACACCCCTTCCCTTATATTTCGGAGAAGTATTATATCAATTGGCACGGCATGTTTTAGCAAAACTATCAGAATTTTGTAGGTGCATCAGGGAACTATCGATTACCTTGTGTACATTAGCGAACATAACATTTTTGCACTATCCTAGAGCTAATTTAATACTACCTGCAAAGGGAAAAGCAAATGTAGATGCAAAGCTGTTGCTTGAGTTTAGGGTTTACTTAAATATGAATTTTAATTTCAACAAAATTCATACATATACATGACGATATAGCATGAACACCTGAAAATTTAATGCAAAAATATGATCAAGTTTATCCTGTACAAAAAACATGTGGTTGTTATTACACTGTTCAAACAATAAGTCAAACATTTTGTATTTTCATGCAGGGTACATTTGGTCATGTTTCTGTATGATGTTTTGTAGGCATTTGTGTTATAACTTGATGCACATGCATGATGTTTTTGAGATGCATAATTAGATAAACCCAAGCTCAAGCACCCACCCTTTATCTGCAACATCCGTCGAAATGAAAACACTTTTTTTTCGGAAGATTTTTATTTTATCGATTGAATAATTAGTTGACACAAGATGTTTAATATGCAGGCAAAATTCAAATAAGAAAATGCCATAAGAGAAGGAGCATACATGTTGAGATTTGTTCCCTGAAACCTGCAGGTCCTCAATTTTCTTCTTCTTTGGTGTCACAACACTATCACTGGTATCTTGAGATTCGAGATAGTGGTGAACTTCTTTGAGAGAACGAAATTCGTAGCTATTTGTAGGATCAATGTAGAACTGTATAGATCAAATGATTATATCAACTACAACTATAAAACAGAGGGTTAAGTAGACAATAAACAGAATGATACCAAAGTCAAACATAAATTGGACATAGTACCGTCTTGTGGAAAAACGCCTAAAAGCTATTCTAAGAAAACAACTCAAGTAGTTACTATCCATTATTTGATTTCTAGGTAAAACACAATCACTTACAACTCATTAAGGATTCATTTCGTTTATAAGGTTCAAAGACAGTAAAGAGGCTAGCTGTTTTCAACTCAATTTCATGTTCATACCATGACAAGAACAAGGTTCAATGAATTTTTTGTGTTGAAGTCATAAAAATATTCAAGATTCACCTACAGTTGTTGGCAAAAAACAATGCAATATACAACCTAGATCACCAGCATATTTAATTGACCAGAGGATTGCTAATGATAAGCTTTTTTTTACGGTGTGAAAAGGGAAAGGTTAGTAGTAGTCTAAGCCCCACTAAAGAAAACTGCACAAATCCAACTGCAAGTGCGGAGTTGTTGTTTTCTATCAAATCATTACCGAAACTTGTTTTTTAGGATCTGTGTACCTTTTTTGTTGGAACCAAGACTGCAACAGGTATCAGAGTGATAGCATAAACACACTGAGTTAAATTATTTGAGTGCATTCCACTTTCACCCCCAGTCACGACTTTGTGACAATACTTACCCTATTTAAACAATCTTACCACATTTACTCCTTAGTTATTTTCTTGTGATGCTTTTTACCCCATTTTACTTTTTTTCCTCAAACTGACAAGGTGGACCCATGTGTCAGGATGATGTGGAAGCTGACTAGTCCGAAGCTCAGGCCGTATTCGTGGTATGGCCAAGAAGCAGCGGGGTGCAGCTAGCCGAAACCTATTCGCCAAAGTTGACAAAATTCCATAGAGCTTAACTAAATTTCATGAAATTTGAGGATTTCGACATACTTTGGTATGCCCCTAACGAGTATGTGTCCTAGTTGTATATGCAGTAAGCTATCATGTCATCCTAACAAGTCTGCAGTTTCCATAGCATGTCCTAGTGATCTAACTCATCCGTTTGATACAATAATAAACCAAATGGGGTGAACGTTGTCGCAATGTCACAACTCACAACTAATGGGGTAAAATGTGGCAGGATTTTAACAGGGTTCACAGCATCATAACTAGAGAGTAAAAGCTGGAATTTACTCCAAATATTTCCCACAATTTAACCAAGGGAAACACACTGCACCTTGTCCCTCCTGAACCTAGATCCAGGCCGAGGCTTTCTAGGCCTGTACTCTTTCAGCCAACCATCAGGTAACCCCTCTCCGGCAGGCTCGCGTTTCGTCTCAACCTAGGTAGGCAACAAGTATGAATTAAGCAAACTTGCCAAATATTATTGAACTGCAGAAAGAGTTTGAAGTTGTCATACCATGATCCCGTTTGGGCAGTGCAGGCCACAGGATCCTGTCAGGCTAAAACATCCTAAATCATGCAAGGAAATGGTAAGCATCTAAAAGAAGAACGTAAATCGCATGGAGCTTGCTGTGAAAGAAACATGGGCTTGTAGTAGCAGTCAAAGTCAAGCATTCATGTACTTTGCTGAATAATACTAACAATACGCTGCCAGTCTGAAGCCGTCTGTAGGGAGAGCTGATGGGACAAGGCTTTTATGGGAGCACTACAGAAAAGGTCTTTGCAGAACATGAACTGAACCTGTTCAAATCGACTCCCGAATCCTGATACCTCAGTTGAGCTATTAATAGAACTTGCTAATCCCAGCTCCTTGACAAAAAGATGTAGCCGCACAAACTCAAGAGTGTAGCAGCTAAAAAGGTAGGTCGTATTTCGTAAGATGCTGAGTATGGTGATCTGTGGATTGCGCCCCATGTCCTAAGCCCAATTGCTGCTACTTTTGTTGAACAAAATCTCTCTTTGTTTCGCAAAAAAAAAAAGTAGAATAAAATCCCTTCTTGAGCGCGCACACACATGCACCGGAGAAAGCTCACCAAGCCCACCTAGGAACTCTTGCTTGGGAGATTAGTAAGCAGCTTAAGGTTCCAACACAAAGCTCTGGCCACGAGAAAATTAGGCAGGGAGGGAGGGGGGAGCAAAGACCTGAGCAATACTAGTACTACAAGTTATTTTTATTTTAGTTTGCACTGGAAATAAGGATGTCGTTTCTGTGGATTCATTAACGAGAGAAGCAAACGATTTACAGATCATAATCACACAGAAACGCCGAGGATATTGCAGCATGTTCCCGGAATCCAGATCCAAAGCCTCACATAAATTAGTAGTGTTACCAAGCCAAGCAGCAGGCACCGAAAATCTTGCGTGTTCGCATGCTACCTTGAACAAGAGCATGCGCATGCTCTTGGGTCTTGGCACACAATCGTAGTCAAAACGCTAGCCTCCCTCCCCGTAGAACACGGAAATCCATTGGGGAGAACAAACTACTACTCTACTACTCTCCAACAAACTTGAGTTGGAAAAAATCAGCAAGAAAAGAAAAAGGAGTGGTTGCGCCCGGCAAGAGACGAGGAGGCCGAGCAGAGCAGAGCAGGAGCACTGACCTTGTTACCGGCCAAGGCTACGGTGCGGTGGCCATGGAGCGCCGGGTGGTCGGGGAGAGGAGGAGGAGACCCGGGAGGGAGGGAGGGAGAATGACAGCAGGAGGTGCGCGAGGAAGACCAGCAAGGAGCACGACGCACTGGGACTGGGAGTCGGGAGTAGTAGGAGTCGGAGGACAGCAAAGGCTTCCCTTTCTTTCTCTCTTTGTTTTACCGGCCCGATCTGACAGACAGATGCCGCGCGCGGGTGGCTTGCCTCCCCGTCTCTCGTGATTCCGTCAAGTGGTGAAGGCGACACTCGCTGCCTCGCTCGCTCCTCGCTCATGCGTGGACTGTGACAGTGTCGTCCAACTGTCCCTCCCTCCTCCCTCTCTCCTCACCTCCTCGCTCGGTGTGGCGTGGGTAATGACTAATGATGATGACGTCCATCCTCACGGCGCGCCACGGCCGCTACTGGACAAGGGAAGGCCGGGAAGGGAAGCCAGGTCGTCGTCTGAACTGTGGTGGTTGATGGAACGGAGGTGATGGAGGTGGAGCCATTTCTTCCTTTCTTTGCTCGCTTTGCCCATGCCTGCCTCTGCTCACTCACTGTCTCTGACTGACTGACTGACTGACTGGGAGGTTTTTACTGCTTGCGTAAATGAGGCAATAGCTCACCTCGCCGCGATGCAGAAGGTGTCTATCGTTCCTGCTTCTTTTTAATTGTGATGCATCATGCATGCGCTTTTTGTCTGAATCAAGTCAGAGTAATCTCTGCTTGTTGTAGCTCCCTCATTTTCTTTCTTTCTTTCTTTCTTTCTTTTCTTAGGCGAATTTCTTGTGCTTCCATAGCTGCTGCATGTGTGCATGTCATTGGCATGGCTTCAGCGTCGGCATTTACTAAGAATCAGTACACCGCTTGCTTGCCTTTAAAGAATCAAGGTCTACATATGGCGTCCGCCTAGCTGACCGACGTCGACTAGCCTAGCCCCAGCGAGTTTTGTCCTAGCCCTAGCCTGCGCGTGAGGAGGGAGGTAGACCTTGATCCCCTCCCTCTCAATTATTGGGCTCTCTCATCTGAATCCTCACACTACCAAGATGAGATGTTACCTGCATTCTCCGTCCATCCATGGGCATGGATAAGAAAAGATCACCGTCATCATCGTCATCACACGAATCACTAAATCTGGCCGGACGAATGAGATGCTCTTCCTTGACTCGGAGCCTGAGCCACCCAAAGGATCCAAGAGATAAGATGGGTAGCAGCAGGAACGAATCCAATTCCCTAACCTCACCAGTAAAATGTAATCTAAGCTAGCTGCATCCATCACATTCAGATACAGTGACACTGCTCATGGGAAATCACATTAGCAGGTGCGTGTTTAACCTTTAAAATTAGCGCTAGTGAACCAGACCAGGACCACGTACTACTACCACGCCTTTTCCTATGCGTCGAGTGCCTCGAGAAACGTGGACTGGGCCGCGCGCTAGGCCGGTTGGTGCTGCTGCTACTCCAGCAGATTCAATTCTCAAGGGGCAGGAAGAAAAAAGATCCGATTCAGAAAAGAGGAAACTGCGGCGGCGTCTCTCTCCCAAATCCCGATCTCCCCGTCCGTCTCTCTCGGTGAATGAATAGCCAGGACACGGCGCCGTACCTCTGGCTGCAGTCGAGTCGACGGTGGCCTCCCTCCCTCCTCCGCGGATGGAGTCGTCCCGGGCTACGCACTCATGCCGGCGACAAACACGGCGCCGTCGACGGGCAACATCAAGGGCAGGAGCGGTTAGAAACAGTACCAAATGGATGCCAACTGTTCTCTTCTGCTGAGTGATCGATCTGATCTGATCTCACCCACTACAGGCGGGAGATGAGAAGAAGGCGAGTGGCGCGTCTCCGTTTCCCTCGCCTCTCCGAACGCCAGATCTGTTTGACTGTTTCGGATTTTATATATACTGCCTTTTCTTCGAGATAAGTAATATCATATACCGGGAGCCGCTATGTCTCGTTGTAGGCGAGACGGAGGCAAGCCTCGCGTCGGGGTAAGCTCCAGATGGGTCGGCCCAGCTGCGCGGGAGGCTACAGCCTCTTTTTCTCTTTTTTTCTGTTTTCTGTTTTCGTTTTTGTTTATTTTTTACTTTTCTTTAAAATTTAAAATATTTTAAACTATATTACAAAACAAATCTATAAAAACGTTTGAAAAGTTTTGACCAAGCATTTACAAAAGTTAAATGTGTATAGAGAAAATATTTATCACATATATGAAAAGGTATTAAAATTGATCACATATTGAAAATATGTTAATCAAGCACTTGAAAAACATTTGAACAAGTATTCGAAAATTTTAGTCAAGCATTTGGAAAATGTTAAATGTGTATAACCAAAAAGTTGACCAAGCATCAAAAAGATGATGAATGTTTTTCATCATGTATATAAAAAATCTTAATCAAGCATTTCAAGAAAATGTTGATCAAGTATCTGAAAAATGTTAATCAAGCATTTGGAAATGTAAAATATTTATAGTAAAAATGTTGACCATGTATAAAAAATTGATGAAATTTCTTTAGCATGTATATTAAAATGTTAAGCAGGCATACGGAAGAAATGTTGAACAAGTATTGGAAATTTTTTAATCAAGCATTTGGAAAATGTTAAAAATGTGTATAGAAAAATGGTTTACCATGTATTAAAAAATGATGCATTTCATATCATGTATATAAAAATATTGAACAAGCATTGGAAATTTTTTAATCATGCATTTGGAGATGTTTAAAATGCGTATAGAAAATTTGTTGAGCATGTATTAAATAATGATGCATTTTTTATCATGTACATAAAAATATTGAACAAGTGTTGCAAAAATGTTTAATCAAGGACTTGGAAAATGTTAAAAATGTGTATAGAAAAAATGTTGACCATGTATTAAATAATGATGCATTTTTATCATGTATATAGAAATGTTGAACTAGTGTTGGAAAAATATTAATCAAGCATTTGGAAAAATTCAAAAATGTGTATAGAAAAAATGTTGACCATGTATTAAAAAATGATGCATTTTTTTATCATGTATATAAACTTTTGAACAAGTATTGGAAAAATATTAATCAAGCATTCGGAGAAATGCTAAAAATGTGTATAAAAAATATTGACCATGTATTAAAAAATGATGCATTTTTTATCATGTATATAAAAATGTTAATCAAGCATTTAAAAAATGGCGAACAAGTATTTGAAAAAATGTTAAATGTGTATAGAAAAATGTTTATGATGTATTAAAAATGGCAAAAAATGATCATGTATATGAAAATATTAATAAAGCATTTGAGAAAAAAATTGAACAAGTATTTAAAAATGGTAATCAAGCATTTCAAAAATGTTAAATGTGTATTCAACAGATGTTACCATGTATTAAAAACTGTTAAACTTGTATTTGAAAAACCTTAATCAAGAATTTCAAAAAAAATGTGTATGAATTTTTTTTCTTACCATGTATTTAAAAATTTAAAAATTTATATTTGAAGAAAAACGATAAAAAGAAGAAAGAAAGAAACAAAACGGAAGCGAACCAACCTGTGATTAAATGGTTAGAGGGACAGTGGTATGCCCAGCCCACCAGGGTTTAAGTCCTGGTGCTCGCATTATTCCTGGACTTATTTCGGGATTTTCGGTAATGCACTTTCAATGGGAGGAGACGTTCCCTTCGAAACAAAAAAGATATGAAGTTGCCGAGGGGCAATGAGCCAGTGGCTCTGGTGTCTTGGCTTGAAGTTGGGCTCGAGGATGACAGCATGCGGCGGCACCCTTCTTCTCCAACCTTGTCAAATGAAGAAGTGGCGTCAAAATCTGGTGAACATGGGGAAGACCCCGTCCGATGCGCCACAAAGTCTC